CACTAGCAAACAGAACTGCACACACCACAGTCTCCATCACATGCGGATAGAAAGGACAGAAGGGGATGGTGGGCGGATATCAATGCACGGATGTCAGATTCAAGCAAAGCGTTCCTGAAGGTGTGTGTAAGTGTCTGTACAGAGTGTGCATGTGTGTATAAATGCCCAGGTGCATGGGGTTGGGAGTCTGGGGGTGTGCAGAAAGCTGCTGTTTTTTTTTCACAGAGGAATTGAAAGAACAGCCTTCACTAATGGATTATTTTCAGCTCAGGATTCTGGTTTCACATCCTGCCTCCATTGTGATCGCAGATTCTGCTTCGTACAGCCTGAACCTTTATGGTTTACAACGCATATGTTCCAGCTTTACACGTTATGTAAAGACATCTACTTCTCTGACAGGTGCAGTGATACTATCTGAAATTCTCCTGTCTGCTTTTCTGCACTTCACAGTCTTTTTTATTTGTTTTTTAATAATTGAAACTATTTTAAATTTAGAGTGAATGACAGTCCTGAGAGATATTAGATGGGTTTGTTTTGTTTAGTTTCAATAACAACTCTATTTAATGAGAAAGGCCTGAGATGCTGCCCTGCCACAGGCTGGCGACCTGTCCAGGGCGTGCACTGCCTCTCGCCCTGTGGTAGCTGGCATAGCGATTGATGGATAGCCATTTGAGTGCAGTGAAGTCATTGTCATGTTCAAGATGATTTGAGCTTTGTAACCTTGTGCATTATTGTGCTGGAAGCAGCAGTCAGAAGACGGGTACAGTGTGGTCCTAAAGGAGTGGACATGGTCAGCAATCATTCTCAGATAGATGGTGGTGTTGAAATTAGGCTTAGTTGGTGCAAAGTGTCCATTTCCTGTTTGTAGCTGACGGCAGTGGCACCCAGTGTGGCCTTCTGCTGCTGTTTCAAGGTCGTGTGTCAGATATGCTCTGCTGCATACCTGGGTTTCAGCGAGTGGTTATTTGAATTACTCACCCAGAGATCTGCTGCTCACTGCTCATCTTTGAGATTGTCGTGTGGGAAAATCCCAAATGACCAGCAGTTTCTCAAAAGTTCAAACCAGCCCATCTGGAGCCGATAATCGTGAAATATTCTTGCGGTATGTGCGTCACTGATTAGATATTTGTATTATTTATAGCATTATAGCATTTTGATCCGGGACGTAATCTGCATGAAAACAAG